AAGAAGCAGATGGTGAAATAAAATTATGGTAACAATGCTGCAAAAAATAGCAAAATATTTCTAACAGCATGAGATTTATACAAATATTAATCATTTTATATTGTTGTTGCATATTAGAGATGACGATGGTACCGGCACGCAAGATTTCAGACAAACACTAAAAAGATGCAAACGTGACAATAAACTTAATGGAGATGCGAAAAAAGATGCAAAAGTAAAGAAAAATGATTGATAACAATAAAATGTTACATAATATAAAATATGTGATAATAATATAATCCTATCTAAAAAAAGATATGTTAAGTCGAGCTCGAAATGTATCGTTGTTCTCGAAATTATTGTTGACTCTTTTCCGCGACGCTGATTGGTTCTTTCGCTGCGCTATAACTTCGTGAACGGCTGTCATTGCATTGACTTTTGACCGTTGTTTGTATTGAGGTTGATGTATAATTTTAGTCAATTATACTTTATAGTAAAAAGTAAAAGTTTAGTTAAATAGCGCGCGCGAAACGCGCGTCTGTAGTGCTGGTAAATACATACTTATAAAACATATGTCTTTAAATTTGGTCCATGTTATTACTCAGTTGTTTATATTGGAAAAATAACTAATAACATAATATGATGTTAATTTTTTAAATTAAAGTTATGCAATCACAAATTAGTTATTTTTCCAGATCTAGATATTATATGCTAACTGAAACCAATTGTTAAATGAAAATACATTTTAGCCTGACTCGCCTTTGAGATGTAATTTAAAAGATAATAATGAAATAAGATCGAACAATTAAATATATGCTGTGCTACAGCTGATACATCCAAATTATGACTGGTTTTAAGAAAATACGACCTTGAAATTGTATATATTGTTTGCTCAATTAAAAAGGAACAGTTTTATCATAATATAATTATGTGATTCTACTTTAGAAGATTAAAATTAAATTATTTGTTTAGAAATAACGACGTAGATAGAACTGTCATACTGAGGACTCTTCTATATAATGTGAATTAAACTCGCTACCTATTGATATTAACTTGAAAAAATTGTTGGATTGAAAAGAAAAATAGAACAAAACAAAATGATTAACACTCAAAATTCTGACTACATGTGATTTGAACGTACATAAAAGGCGTCATAAATGCCTACCCATCTGAAATTACAGGAGCACATATACGTATATATATTATTGTATATACATATATATATTATACATATATGGATCAGTATCCCTGCAAATTCAGACGGGTAGGCATTTGTGATGCCTTGTGTACATATGCATTATTGTAAGCATGTATATGCTAACTAAATTGGAACCAATCATTAAATCAAAATAAATTCTGCCTGACTCGTCTGAGATGTAATTTGAAAGATAATAGTAATACAAGACGAAAAAAATTAAAGATACGTTGTGCTACAATTGATACAATCAAAGTTATGATGACTGGTTTAAAGAAATATATAACTTTAAAATTGTATATATTCTTCCTTCAATTAAAAAAGAACCATTTTATTATGGTAAAATCATGTAATTCTGCTTTAGGAGATTAAAATTAAGTCACATTTAGAAATAATTATGAAAATTTTAATAGAATTAACGGTCATATTGAATCCTTCTATATAATGTGAATTAAACTCGCTACATATTGATATTGAAAAAATTGTTTCTCCACTTGAAAAGATAAATAAAAGAAAATAAAATTGATTAATTCTCAAAACTCTGACTATATGTGGTAAACATACATATTAAAACGTGCATATTATAATATAATATATAAG